TAGACTGCAATAATACAAGACCCCTCGCTATAATCACTAGGGTAATATATCAACTGTCAGAAAGCTGAGCAAATCAATGGATGTCAAAGCTTTACTAGTGTACAAGTTCTGCCATAGTCCTTGTGCTGCCTTCCACAGAGCGAGCCCTTAGGTCAGGGGTAGCCAAACTCCGGCCCTCCAGCTGTGGTGGAACTACAAATCCCATGAGGCATTGCAAGATTCTCATAGCCACAGACATGACTCCAAGAGAGAGGCATCATGGGACTTGTAGTTTCACCACAGCTGGAGGGCCGGAGTTTGGCTAGCCCTGCCTTAGTTCAACAAACACCCTCCATCTTTGCATATCACATAAGCCTGTAAATATGCACAAAGAGGAATGTCCAAAGTGCCCATAGAAGCCAATCAAAATGTTCTTCTTGATCAGGTGACTGATGGCGGTTATTGGTTACTAAACTTTGAACATCACTGCTCCTTGCATTATCTCATGAAATAAAACAGATCAAAGATTTCAGAGAAAGTAAGAACAGACAGGGGCTTAAACATCGAAGAAAGTGCAAGTTTTACGTCTGTTTAAATGCTCGCTCTGCTCAGAACTGATCATTTGGAATTACATGCTGGCGTTTGCATCTCCCAGAGAATCCCTCGTGAGATTTTCCTCCCAGAATTCCCCGTTTTGACCAACGATCATGGCCATTTACAGAGCAAAGGGGTAGTGTCACACTGCCTTCTGGGTAATATAGCATTTTCATTGGTAATACAGTAACATCATAGCCTCATGTGAAAGGGACAAAGACAAGTTACTGCATGGAAATCTCACTACTCGAGTCTAACAGAAGCAAGAAACCGGCAGGTGATTCATACCCACTGATGCCATTCCAAAATGGAGATATCACGTCCCAATGGTGTCAATGAAGTATCCAGTTTTGCAGCACATGCAAAAACAATATTCTATGTAAGACTGCACTAAGCACCCATTATGTGCTAAATATGGGGACGCTTTTTATTCTAGTCAGAACAGGAAAACAAATGATCCATCTACTATAAAAATGTAAAGCTGGCTGGAACTGATGTATTTTATATGCAAATCAGTTCTACAAGTAGACAATCTGGTTTGACACATCTGTGGTGTCTGCAGGGGTTCAGAAGTCATTTGGTGGGGTAAACGGAACTGAAATTGATGCATTTTCATCCACTATCACCCTTTTATATAGTTGCTGCACTTCTGTTGCAATACTAAGGGTAATTGTCCCTGCTGTCACAATATTGTGATCAGGGCTCGGCTTTCAAAATGACCTCCTTCAATGAATGAGTAGGTACAGGAGGATACATACCATTTCACAAATGAAGCTGGACATAAGAAAATTCAGCAGATTAAATTGTTTCAAGTGCTCCAATGTGTTTTGGGCTAGTAGAGCTGATTAAGAGCCAGACTAATGGGAACCAATGCAGGGGGTAAAAAAAAAAATATATTTCCAAGTGACTTAGCACGGGCATGCCCCTATGAACTCACTAGTTCAAAGTTCCTAACTATTCCGTACAGGCAGCCGACTAGCCACGTGTTGCTGTGAAGTCACTAGTTCATAAGAAAATGGTATCAGGAATACTTCCCCGTATGTGCTTCTGCTAGGTTACACCATCAGTACAGTTTAATGATCTAGACATTCATGCTGCTCAAGGAGCTATAAACATAACAGGGGACAGATGTATGCTTTACTATGAATCAATTTCCAAAGTTGGATGTGTCTGTATATTACCAATGCCCAAGTTAGCATACTAAGAATCAGTAACAATTCCTCTCCAAAGGTGGAAACCTAAACTAACAAACTTGTTTCAGGGCTATGGTTGGCAACTCAAACAACTCAGCCTGTGCACAAGCTGCAGATGAGCAGCTACTGAACAACTTGCCGTTCTTGGTTGGCTGCAAATGAGCAGCTACGGAACAACTTGCAGTTCTTGGTTGGCTGCAAATGAGCAGCTACGGAACAACTTGCCGTTCTTGGCTGGCTGCAGATGAGCAGCTACTGAACAACTTGCCGTTCTTGGTTGGCTGCAGATAAGACAAAATCTCCTAGAGAATGAGCAGCACTGAGACAACTACACATCCCTTAACACATTGGTGCAATCTCAGTGCACAAGTAAAGTTCATGACTGGATCTTGATCTCCTTTACAGGCTTTTTTTTGCCACAGCACAACTGTATATTCAGCAGCTGGAGCCGCTATTGAGCCTGCCAGTGGTTCAGAAACTAGTCATGGTCAGCAGGTAAAGAGCGGTTATGCGGTTATCCCCTACAGAGATCTAAGTTAACTACTTGCTGCTGGATATTTAAGTTTGCACTTTGTGAGCATCATTTGTGAACGAAGACTTTGGTCACCTCCCATGTTGAGATTTAGTACAGCTTTACCAGGCTGTAGCCTACCAGCAGGCCACCCCAGCTAAATCTCTGTACTTCAATATTTTCTACACTGACCTCTGTTCAGAGGCCTTCAAAGTATCTGCATTCTCAACAGAGCAGGCATTAAATGCATTTTGCCAATTTAAGGCCATGATATATACCTTTAAACTTTATTCCCTGAGAGAAAATATTCACAATATAGAACTTCAGACACACTACAAACAAGAGACAAAAGAATAAACCAACATGCCGCTTGTGCATGGCTTCAGTGCCTAGGACAGACGGGTAACCCATGTAATGTATGCAGGGCAGTGAACGCTGTAGCAATAGAGTGAGACCCAGACACTGGAGGAAGTGGTAATAAATTAAACACAGAACAAATCATCGAGAAGGCCACAACCCAGCGCATGCACACGCTACGGATGATGCAGTAGCCAGCTCCACTTCTCATTCATAGATCACTGCTGCTTGAATCCATTCTTGCACTGCTAGAAGCAAAAGCAGAAATAACAGTATTATAATGAAGTATTAGTAAAGCAATACATCAAGGCCAAAATTACTGAAAACATTTTTTTTTTTTAATACAAAAGTAATGATATTTGACAACCCGTCCTCTTCACTATGTGCATTTGGTCCTCTCCCTACAACCTATTTCAATACCTTTGCTACCTTTACTGAAGAAAGTCCTGTTTTAAGAACATGGTCTCCAGTCTACTGTCCATGTGTCTACATATTCTGCTTGAAGGATCAAACTGCACCCTATCCACTTCTAGAGTGTGCTGTCTGGAGGCATAAACGGCCTCTTTACAGCAGAGACAGGAAGCTGTAGGCCATGCATAAAATGGTTGTTATGCAAATATCCATTTGTTAATATGATCTTGCAAGTTTGTCTTTATGTGTTACAGACCTTGTTTTCTATGTGCGGTTTGAATTTATGGAGGCAGCCATATTACTTGACCAATGAAAATGCAGCCCTCTGGCTTGATGGAAGTGTTGTATAGTGATAGTGCTTTGCTGCTTCTCTTGATGCATGGGCCAGCTCAGGTCTCTCTAGGCCAGCTCAGGTCTCTCTAGGCCAGCTCAGGTCTCCCTAGGCCAGCTCAGGTCTCCCTAGGCCAGCTCAGGTCTCCCTAGGCCAGCTCAGGTCTCCCTAGGCCAGCTCAGGTCTCCCTAGGCCAGCTCAGGTCTCTCTCTAATTTCGTACATACTGAAAATACACATTAGTCTTCTAGGAGGCCACTGAATGATACCTGTATCTGTAGAGATGCTGCTGGTTGCAGGGAGGGGTGATGGGCAGTGACTTTCCGATGCTTCTTGTGACATCGCCTGGAGGTGTCTTATGGCGTTTGGTTTGAGGTGACTTTGTTTGGATTATATGGCATTCCTGCTCTTGGCCTAAAATGTCACAATACAATAAAAGCATAAGCATAGTCTGCATTTGCAGCTTAGAAAACAACAAGGGGTTCACTACCTGTTTTGCCGTAGTATACCTGTGCAGGATATTGCCACGTTCAGTAGGTCTACTAGCAAAATTTTCTTTTTACCAGGTGCCACACAGATCTCTCTACAACAGTCATTGTGTTGGTCTACAGTTCTATATATCGATCTATCTAAATAAATACATATTTTAGGTATGCTGTATGAAAAGGAACATGTATAGTAGGGTTTTCTAAATACTGACCGCAAAAGTGGAAATGCACTTTAGAAGATTTTCACTGGACACCATGAATACATCATGCATACATCATGCATACATCATGCATACATCATGCATACATCATGCATACATCATGCATTGCTAGAAGCATACAGCTATAGCTAACAGTCTATTAACTGGCACACAACAAGTTCACTCTACGTCTGAGTTCCGGTTATGAACTTTGGAATAATTCAATACTAGGATGCCAGACCTATGGAGTGCCCCTGTAAGGGTTAAAGTGACACTAAACTTAGGAGTTAAATCTTAAAAATGCATTCAAGTACCCGAACCATTAACAAAACTGAATCGTATTTGTGTATTACTCAGCTGTAGATCCTCAAATCATCTCAGAATTGGAGAGGACCTGAGAGAAAGTTCTTTTCTCAGGTCCACTCCTCTGCTCAGTGGGCGGGTACAATAGCCAGCCTGCTATTGGCTATTGCAATTTAAAATAGCCAATGGCAGGCTGGCTATTGAAACCCAAGGTTTATGTTCTGCTGCTGACTGCGGAATCTAGCCGCTGGCCAGCAGCAAAAAAGGTAAACAATGAATTTCGTTAGCAGCTGAATAATTTTAGTTGCTAATGAAATTTTTTGAATCTCCCCATTTTTATCAAGTAACAGCAAAAACAAAACAAAAAATCGAAGACATTACAGTATACCTTCAAATTTTTTTTGCCTGTTGCTTGAGTGTCAGTTGCTCGAATGCCGAATAATGGGGAGTTTATACTGTATATGGTTTCATATGCAACAGATTTAGTGAGTCTTTCATTGCCTTTTATTAAGCGCAGAAATATGAAATGTAAACTATAAACCCCCCCAATAGGGTTCTGGATATAAGTTTAAGTCTTACTTGAAAAGGCACTTTGAGGCTGGCAGTACTCAGCGCTTTTGCGATCACAAAACAAGGACATGTTTAGGAATTGGTGTTTTAACCACAGTGCTCGGTCCTCTTCGAACGTCTTTTTCTAGGGGACACAAACATAATACAAGAACTTATCAACGTGAAACATGCATTCTTCTTCCAGATGGTCATAAAAGTAATATTGAAGTGCCATCTGGTGGCTAACGTGGAGTAGCAGCTTTGATGTGAATCAACTCACCTCGTGTCCCAGACGGATGGCAGCTTCAGTAAAATTCCTTCTCTCTTTCTCAAAATTCTTTTTTTGTTCATTAAATAACTTCCATTCTTCCCGGAGTCTCTCCTGGTCTTCAAGGAGGTAACAGTCCTGGAGGAGGGTGGCTGTATCTTCATCACGTCCTACATTGAATTGTTGCTGCATATATAATAAAACGGTTAGTTCCCCCTTTGAAATTCAGCATCAGTATGGCAAATTAGATAATGCTCGACCCTTTAACGCTTTGTTAAAGGGTCGAGCATTATCTAATTTGCCATACTGAAAGCCTCAAAACTATCAACTTCATTTTATTTTGGATACGGTGGGGAAGGGTTAAAGCCTCGGTCATGTTTCCCCCCCCCCCCCCCCCCCCTCTTCGCGCCGCGAGAGAGAGTAGAGAATATC